CTTCCAATGCTATGCACAGCTCTAAGCCAGGGATTGCTGCTTCATATTCGGCTTCATTATTTGAAGCTTTGAATGAAAATTTCAGTGCATATTCAAAGGACTTGCCTTAGGGCGAGGTTATGACTACCCCTGCCCCCAAACCATTTACGGTGGAGGATCCATCCGTGAAAACAGGCCATACTTTCTTTTCCTCGTCTAGTGTCTCTTGATAAGAACACTCGGCCAGGAAGTCCGCCCAAGGCCTGAGCCTTGATGGCTGCTCTCGGCTGGTAGCTGATGCTGAACTCAGTGAGCTCGAAGGCCCACTTTTTGAACCTACCAGATTTCTCAACTTTGCCGAGGACTTTTTCTAGCGGCTGATCAGTCAAGACCACTATTTGATGGCAATCAAAATAGGGCCTCAACTTCCGAGCGGCTACCACTACTGCATAGACAACTTTTTCGAGTAGGGGGTAGCGAGTCTCGACATCTGTCAGAGTGTGACTGACAAAATAGATCGGCTGCTGAGCTCTTTCTTTTCCCCTCAGCAAAACCGCGCTTATAGTGGTCGGGTTAACTACTTCATATAAGCACAAAGTTTCTCCTTCGGCTGGGCGTGCCAGCGTCAGGAGTTGAGCCAGATGTTCACGGATTTGCTTAAAGGCTTCTTTTTGCTCGTCTTCCCAAATGAGCTCTTTGGTTTTCGGAAGTTTCAACGCCTTGAAGAAGGGTAACCCTTTGTCTGAAGCTCTAGAGATGAACTTGGACAGGGCATCCATTTTCCCGGTAAGGCCCTGAACGTCCCTCTTGGTTCACGACTGGGGAAGATCAAGTGTGGCCTGCACTTTGGCGGGATTGGCATCAATCCCCCTTTTGCTGACCATGAAGCCGAGGAACTTTCCTAACTTCACGCCGAAGACACACTTCTTCGGATTCAGCTTCATTTTGTGCTTTCTTAGGGTGGTGAAGGTTTCGGCCAGGTCCGCGACATGGTCTGTGTCTTCTCTACTTTTAACGATTGAATCGTCAACATAGACTTCCATGTTACGGCCTTTTTGCTCGGCGAAGACCTGATCAACTAGCCTTTAATATGTTACCCCCGCATTTTTCAATCCGAAGGGCATCGTTTTATAATTATACACCCCAGCGCTTGTAACGATGGCCGTTTTTGCTCGGTCGTCGGGATGCATGAAGATTTGATGATACCCCAAGAATGCGTCCATGAAACTAAGCAGGGCATGCCCACTTGTCAAGTTGATTAACTGATCGATCCTCGGAAAGGGATAAAAGTCCTTCGGACATGCCCTATTTAGGTCCGTGAAGTCAACGCATATTCTCCAGGTGCTATTTGCCTTTTGAACCACTACCACAGTGGCCAATCATTCTGGGTATTGACAGGGTTCGATGAAACCTGCATCCATGAGTTTTTTGACCTCGGCTGCGATGTCTTGGTTCTTTTTTGCAGAGTAATTCCGCTTCCTTTGCTTAATTGGTCGACAGGTATGGTCGACATTAAGCTTGTGAGAGATGAGGTTCAGGTCAATCCCTGGCATGTCTGTTGCCGAGAAAGCGAACATATCTTTGTTGTCCCGAAGGAGTTGGATAAGTTTAACGCGGACGCTCGAATCGAGTTCGAGCCCGATGTTGACACACTTTTCAGTATCCACTTCGGTCAACTCTATTGATTCAGTCTGATGGTCCAGCTCCGTTGCTTTGGCATTGGACTCTTCGCAATCTGGCCTGTTGTCAATATCAGCAGGCTTCCCAGACTTCAGCTGGTGTTCTGAGTCTTTCGGCTCAGATGAGAAACCAGATTTTTCTTACCTCAAAGATTTATCTCGTGTTGGGGTGCCTTGGGCCAAAGCACTTAAGCCTTTAGACTTCTTTGTGCATCGGTCCTTTTCTCTTTCTTCCTTATCATCCCTGTTGTCGCGGCGACTTTTGGATGGCTATAGGTAGTTACATCTTTGGACCTTCTTTTGGCTGCCCTGAATTCTTTCGGAGCGTCCCTCGTCCGAGACATATTTCATCATCTGATGTTACGTCGAGACGACTCCTTGGTTCTCGTGAATTATGGGTCTCCCCATAATCACGTTGTACACAAACGAAACGTCCACGACCAAAAACTCGGCCATGATATTCCGGACTGCTCGGTCTTTGCATATGGTGACAGGAAGAGAAATTTTCCCGTCAGGATATGTTGAAGAACCATTGGATCTAGATACCGGATAGGGTATTGGAGTCAGGTGCTTGGTCTCCAACTTCAGATGGTCGAATGCCTCCCGAAAGAGGATATTCTCACCACTTCCACCGTCGACGAGAGTTCGCCAGACGTTGTGGTTAGTTCGCGATGCCCGTAATGATTATCAGCGGGTCATCATGGGGCTATGCCACCCCCCGACAGTCTTCGGCTGTGAACGTGAAGTTCGGCACCGGAGACTAGGGTGCTTAGATGTCAACATGATTTACTTGATGGGTCAAGCCCCTCAAGTGGTGTTTTAATGCTTTCCGAGAGTATGTTCCTCCGGAAATGACAAGGATGTCAGGATTGTCTTTGCCTTGCGGCATGTCCTTTTTCCGGGGGAAATCCAGTTCTTGCCGAGAATTTTTCTCGGCTCTTTTCTCTTCGCGGCAGTTCGCGAGATATTTTTTCAAGTAACCTTTTCGGACCATATCCTCAATCTGATCCCTCAGCTGGATACAGTCCTCGGTGTGATGCCCAGGAGATTCGTGGAATTCACACCATCGGTCCTTGTTTTTCTGCTGATGCCACGATGGTAGTGGCCTCGGCCTTTTTAACTTTTACTCGTCCTTCGTTATGCTGTAGATCTTAGCACGTGGAAGGGCGAGAGGAGTGTACGATTCATATCTCCCCATGAATGGGGTTTTTTCTTTCTTCGGCTCAGGAGCCGAGGACGTTTCTGAGGCTTTCGCCTTCCCTTTCCTTTGGCCTTGGCCTTCGGACTGCTGTCCTTTTGCCTTCCCAGTCCCGGATTGGGATTGGAATTTGGTTTTGTTCCATTCTTCGGCTCGGATGTATTTATTTGAGGCTCCTCCAAGGTCTGCGGTGGATGCATGACCATGAAGTCATGGAACTTTCCAGCTTGCAGGCCGTTCTGCAGTGCAAAAACGGCTAGCCCTTGGTCCAGACTTGTAATTCTAGACGACTCGTTGCTAAAGCGAGTCAGATTGTCTCGGAGGCTCTCTTCCTCCCCTTGCTGTAGACCCATAAGTTATGTAGTCGTTTAATCTTGGCGGTTCGTCGTAAAAAATTTGCTCTTTAATTTGTTGGAAAGGTCTTTCCAACCAGTTATTGATCCTTCCTTTACTCCCTTGGTGATCCGCACTTGTGCAACACCTTTAAGAGTGGTCGGGAAGTATTTGCACCAGGTCGCTTCGGACCTTGGGTTCAAGTACATGTGCCCCTCATAAAAGGTGATGTGGTCCTTCGAGTCCGAAGTACCATCATAAGTTATGTGAGCCGAGATTGTCACCGCTGCCACATGCTCTTCCAAAATCCAGCTTTGGAAGGGTGAGCTAGTGGGCACCATCACGACCTTTCCCTTACGCCTAGCCGACGGGACCTCGCTCCTCCCTCTCAAAGAGGTTGAAGTGGTTTTCGTCCTCTGCTGGGACGACTCAGAATAAAGCTCGGTTCCCTCGGGGTAGGTGAGACGACTATGCACGCTCACCACCCTTGAGCCAAGAAGTTCGTGAACGTTTAAGCAAGCAGGCTCTTGCCACGCGGAGGTGGTATTGCTGCTTTTGTAGCTCTAGGAGTCCCGGGTTTCGGAATTTTCAAAGAATTGGGGGTTCTTTTACCTCTCCCGTTCGGACCTCCAAGTGTCCTCCTCCCACTTATCCCCGAGCTCTTTGAATGATGGAGCTCGCCCATTTTCCTCTTGGCCGGTCCTCTTTCTCAGGTTTCTCGGCGGAAGAGGCGAGTGGTCACGGGGTGGCGGAAAGTTGCCTCCTTGGGCCTTCATGAGGTCCATGAACACCGCAACGGCTCGTGCCACTTCCTCCTCAAACGCTTGTAGTTGCGTGCCAATTATCCCACTAGCTAGTTGTTAGAGGTTAGTTGTCTTATAATTTTAATGTTTAGAACAACTATCAGCTATTTATACTACTATAACGAGTACTATAAAAGCTATATATGATACATTTTGCCTTAAACTATAGCAATAACTAATTTTGGTAGTTTTTGTTAAACATCACCACAAAGATAAAAGTGAATGTCACCGTGTACTACCGTACTAATCTCAGTTTAGATTCCTAACCTTTTTTTGTACCTTTTAAATAATAATGAAGATTGCTGCTTTAATATGTCAAATACGAGAGAAAAAAAAAAAAGAAAATAGAAAAAAGAAATAAAATAAAAATAGTACGATAGTAATTCTTACTAGATTGAATGTGTGTTTTGAGGGATGAAGGGTTTGAAAGGATCTTTGAAGGAATATGTAAATCTTTAGAGGAAAATTTGCATTTTGAAAAATGAGGAGTATGAATTCATATAAATATCCAAATAATAAATAAGAAATTATACATTTTGAAAGGATTTTAGATTTATATATATAAAAAAAATGTAAACAATTGAGAAATTACATATTTGAGAGCTTAAGCTTGAGATTGGTTAACTAGTTGAAATTGGATTCTTGCTTTCCTATCTAAGGTTGTGAAGAGACGAAAATGAGAATAGATTCAAAATGGTTAAATCATTTGTTTTTAATTAGCATAATAAATCATCAAATGAGCAAAAGGTCATCCTTTGATGCACCATGCTCTAATTGCACCCGGGTGCAAGTTAAAGGAACTAAATTATTTCCGGACAGAACTACAAAGGGTACTGTGCTAGATGCACCTGGGTGTAAGATGAAGGAACTCAATTATACAGAACACAGTGTATTATTGGGCTAGCTTTAAGTGATTACATTACATTACTGCAACAACAAAGGAACAGATGGAACACATGCAGATAGGAAGGAGGTTCAAACCGTTGATTGTAATATTCAGTTAGAAATCAGGAAGTTGAAGATTGAATATCCACTAAAAAAAAGTGTGTGAAAATAATTTGATTTGATTCTTTTTGAAATGAAAATCAAGCTTCACAGCAGTAAATTGTCGAAAATTCTGGAATGAAAACAAAGGATTTCAACACCATATGTCTTGCAATGGAAAAACATGATTTTGAGCCGACGTACAGGACAAGGGGGTGAGGTTAGGATCTATAGCTTTGGATCAATTCTCAAACTAAGGGGCTAATTCACTTCGAATTCAATCCTCAACTGCATCTTACAACAAAATCTCCCAGAACCAAGTAAACAATCCTCTATTCCTCTGCATCCAGTAGCCTTCATATCTTCAAGTCACAGAAGTAAATGAGTCACGCTTATTTGTACTTCTAGGTGCCCAACAAGTTACCTACAATACAAAATTAAATTTATGAAAGGGATTTGCAAATCTCTAGATACCACAACGGGTTTTATACTATTTATGCAGATTTATATAAACTAAAAAGGTTTCAGATGTGGAGAGACAGCTAAATATCATGTAATTACTACCTTAATGTTGCCTCCCATCTGGGATAGCAAAGAGAACAATTGGCTTTGAATGTCTCACATAGGGAACATCGCATCTGAAGTATCCCTTCCTCTCCAACTGAATAACTTCTCCATGTTTCAGATTTCGCATGTTTGCATCTCCAATAGCTAAAGTCTCTTTCTTAGTGACAGGGTTCAGCACATCGAGGAAATCCTCATCCTCTTCCACCTGAATCAAGTTGAACAGGAAAATTGGTCAGAGAATCAGCTTATAAAACTTCTGATTAAATATTCACTTGTTCAATGATAGCAGCCTTCTGGACCTGAGGAAGTCAGAAAACATGAATAATGTACCTTCTTCTTTGAAATCAAGTAATCAAACTCCACAAGTTGAAGTTTAACTAACTCGTCAATCTCAGGCAGCCAGGTTAGCTTCAACTTAGTGGTTTTGACTGATCCACCTAGATTCAGAACCCCTATTAACTGTGCAACATTCCCAGCCTCGTCTTTCTTGATCTCTTTGATAATGGCATTACCCCAGTCCATGAAAGTTACTTCTTCATTGACAGAGATGGCCTCTGAATCAGCATGGTCGATCCATATGTTCTTAGTGAATGTTGTGCACTTCTCTCCGGCACCTTCATACTTTTTATGACGGGGTATAATACGAGTAAATGGTTGCTCAGGGCCATCAGTCAGAGTCACCAAAACGCGACACTCTTCAATCACTGCAGTGTGTCTAGCACACACAGGATCAATGATCTTTTTGTTTATGGTCCAGAGCTTATCCCATTCCATGAGATTGAGATTTTTGGATGCCCCCTGCAGAAAATATACACAGATTTTATAGAATTATGTAAGGAGAAATAAAATGTTAAAGGGGAGACTAAATTTTATTAGCTACTAATTGCATAGTGTAATTGATTGCTGTCATCACCTGCTCAAGTATGAACTGGATTAAAGCATCAATCTTCAGCCCTCTACGGACAATGCCTTGCACGGTGGGGAACCGAGGGTCATCCCAGCCATCCACCTTTCCATTTTGAACAAACCAGAGAAGCTTTCGCTTGCTAAGAAGAGTATAGACCATATTTAGTCGACTAAATTCATATATATGAACTTTTCTTAGTCCCATATCCTGTTGAATCCTGTCATATTGAGCATTGCGATCATGATATTCACTAGACCTTAGAGCATGTGTTATTCCTTCCACAGAATCTACAAATGGACAGGCAAAGTCATAGGTTGGGTACACCTTATACTTGGACCCTATCCGATGATGAGGCATTGGATTACATCTGTAGTAAACAGGGTCTCGCAAGGATTTATTTGGATCCTGCATATCCAGCTTGCCTCTAATGCAACACATTAAACCCCTTTCAGATCCTGCAATCATTTCCTTCCACAACTCCAAGTTTTTCTCCACACTATTATCCCTGCATTTCGATTCAATCCCGTCCATTCTTTCTTTCTGCATTTGCTCACGTGGTGTATCATCAACATATGCTTTACCCTGGCGGATCAAATTTTCAGCCATTTCCATCAACTTAGGGAAATAATCAGAAGTATATGTAACATCATCATAAACAATACCCAGAGTCTCAATATCCTTGAGAAGGTTATCAACAAATTCGTTACTCTCTTTGGCTGGGTTTGTGTCATCAAAGCGCACAATCAGACGTCCTTTATACCTTTCAGCAAAATACTTATTCAACAATGCTGCTTTTGAGTGTCCAATGTGAAGATACCCACTAGGCTCTGGAGCAAACCTTACACAAACTTTCCCAACTTCAGCATGAGGAAGATCTATTTCAGATCGGCTGGTTGTTTTGATGTCACCACCAGTGCTCTTCGATTCATTTCGAGACTCTTGGTCTTTTGATTTCCCGCCAACTGGCTTCCCTGAGCCCCTTTTCCCAGCATACGACTGCAACACCTCACTCAAAGCACTGAATTCAGAGCTTAGAGAGTTATACCAACGCACCAAGTTTTGGTATTTCTTGTTGGATTTTCTCAAGCTTTCCCACCTTTGGCCAGTACCTACAAGAAGAAATTCCTTTAGAAAAAATTGAGAATGGATACATAGTTTCAACAAGTTAATAATGAAATATAATAACAAATAATGCTAGATACAAAATTACAAACTCACATTGCAAATCTCAGTACACTTAACAAGTTAAAAACCATTTTGTGAAAATCTTGTTCTAATAATCCCACCTTTGCCCAATCTTCTTAAAAACAGACCCACCTTTAATTTAACTAAGGAATAATCCCACATACAAGGGCTGTCTCATATATTAGTCCCTAATAACCATATATTAGTCCCTAATAACCATCTACCTAAAATGCATTATATTTAAATATATAATTATTTAAGGCACCCAACCTACACCTCCCTTTCGGACTTGTCCTCTTCAACTTATTTGATACCTCTTCAACCTAAAGATACCTCTTATTTGATACAAAATAAATCCAAATATTCCACATATAAAAAGGTGCACACTAAAGTTGGACATAATCAGCTTTGACGCTTTGTTTGAATAAGAGAAAGGAGTGCAAGGGAGGGAAGGATAAGGAAGATGAACAAGTTCCCTTGTTTGGATAGTTGAGGTAGGGAGAAGGAAAGGAAGGGATCTTTTTCCCTCCCTCTTTAATATACACAATCCCTCCAAATTGGGAAAGATTTGGGGGAGAAATGGAGATCCACCTCCCCCTTCCTTTTTTACCCCTTCCCTTCCTCTTCTCCCCCATCCCTCTACCTTCCTTTTTATCTTCCTACTAACGAACTGTAAGTCATAATAGATTAAGCAAAACTCCTGCATATCTCGTCTTTGACATCATATCTAATGTGAAGAAGGTGGCAAGCATTGCCTTTACAAACAAGGGCAAAGGTGGCACAAATACAGTCCCTTTGAGCTCACATATTCAAAAGCTTTTTAAGGGCACTGGGTATTTAAAATAGCATTGTATTTTAAAGCTTCAGTGAACAATATAATTCTTAGTTAAATCTGCTGCTAAAGTGTCCACCATCACATGCCTCTCTTTCTACTATACAGTGTATGCAGAATTCCCCTACAGTATATAGTGTGATATGCGGCAGAGCGAACAGAGCAGGCAGAGTGATTTTATCAATTTGAAAACAGAAACACTTTTTTTTATTATTATTATGAATCATATAACATCTACCCAAAAAACACACAAGCACAAGTATTTATCAGAATTCTTCAGAAGCATTAAAGATTATGAATCTAGATGAGAGCTTCGTCAGCATATATCACACATAAACCTTACCTTTTTGTTTTTTTTAGACGGATACATAAATCTTACTTTACATGAAGACGAATATTAAAATTGCATATATATTCTTCGGTAAACAAAGAGGCCACATCAGAAAATCCAAATTTTAAGTAATTTGTACTATCAACATCCAATGAGATTACTGACTCATTACCAGCAAGGGCAGCCCACAAGAAGATGTCAGCAATCGACACCTCATGGCCAACCAATAAGGTATTAGTCGATAAGTAGGTATCCAGATAGCTGCAACCTGCTTCAAACTCAGATCCTTTCTCAAGAATAGGTAGATACTCAAACAATTGATCAATCTGTACAGAGAAGCATACAGCATCAGAACCACAGTTTAGGTTGAAGTGTCTGAGCTGTTAAGACCAAGATGTGTAGTGAATATAAGGGGGAAAAAAACCTCTCCAGTCTGATATAAATCTTTCCCATATAGAGTCAGGTTTTCCGCAACTCTGCCAATATATCGCAGAAGGACCAAGGTTCCACGGAGGCTTGACCTATGATACCAAAAAACAGATATGAATGAGGCTTTAGTAGCCTGATAAATATAATTTTCGTAAATGTTACATTTGCAACATGGCTGTGAGGCATGTCTTGGCAGAAGAACCCATGTATGATATTAACTCCTGATAACCCATAAAAAAGTCACATAACATTTAAGCAACAGGCGTGTATATGCAAATTTAAGCTAAAAGATGCCAAGACTCCCTCCCCCTAGTGGCCTTGGATACATAGAAAAAAACATGAAACTATATTAATACTTCCAAACAGCAATAAGTTCAATCAAACCCCACAAACATTGTTTAAGCAAAACACATAAATAAACATAAAAATCTAAGGCCTACTTAGTTAACTAGTTGTAGCACTCAAACAAACCATGGTCTTTTCTTAAATTGACAGCTCATTCAACACAAATTCATCATAAAATTACGAAAGGGTAATTCATTTGAGCATAATTCTTCCCAGAACACCCGTAAAACTACACACAAATTCATTATCAATACCATAATTTATAACCTTACAGTATACTCTATGCAATCATGATATTTACTGCTAATTTCATTCCAGCAATCAGTTCTCATCATCGAAACTCAACATTACTAAATTAACCTAAAATTACTACTGGAGTATTTAATTTGCAGGAAAAAAAAGACCTAATTGTTCGATATCTTTCAACAAAAGGCAATTACAGAAAATCATATAAACAAGACGAAAATGCAAGGATTAGAGAAGAAATAATTATACCCATTTGAGAAGATAAACTTGGGAACAGAGCCAGATGGCAGAGATGGGTCAGGAGAGAGAGAAATCCCAGCAATTTTAGCAGCAGCAATGACTGATAATGGAGGATTATCAGCTGCAAACGACAGCGTAACCTCCATTTTTGTTTCTCTCAATCTTGAAAAATATGCAGGTAATATAGAAATCTATAATTTAGTTTTCGATTTCGATGTAAACCCTTTTTAGGGTTTTAGGGGATACAAAATTATTGAAGAATTTTTTACGAATTAGTGAATTACCAAGAACAAATTTACAATGAATCTGTGAAATTTGTTGAAGAGTGAAAAGGAAAAATGAGAGCTGGTTATATTATTATGAAATGGTGGCCGATTGTTTTTTAGGGTCATTTTACAACCGTTAGATGGTTTTGGACTTTTGGATCCTATTATCCAATGGTTTCATGTTTTCAGCCCATTTTAGTCCGTCCAAGTTGTACAACCCTTTTTTTCCTTCTTACCATTCAAAACAAGTTGTACTTGTATTGTCTGAAACCAAAAACTTCTTTTTTTTTTTTTTTTTTGATAAATCTGAATCCAAAACTAGTTAAACATGATAATATAATTCGATATATTAATAAGTTTTTTTTAGTGGAATAGGAAAGGATGATTTCATTAAATAATAATAGTCATTTGACATTTACAATCATCCCTTAAGAGATCTAAATTCCTAAAACAAGAATTAAACAGCCCTAAACTAATGCCATCGCTTCAAAACTGCTCCTGGATAATTTTATGTCTTTGCATTATCTTTGACGGAGCTCTATTGATGTATAGTCGTAAAAGTGATAAAGCTTGATTGGTCATCAAGATTTGCAAATTTGCAAGATGAATCTTCCAAATTTGCACCCCTATACCAACATACCCGCAATTCTACAAATTGCAAGACGAATCTTCCAAATTTGTATCACTATACACACTAAAAACAAACAAACAAACAAACAATACTAAACCTATATAGAGGGAGTGACTAAACATTACATGGAGAGACTGACTATAATCACCATACTATTGGTGATCTTTATTAGCTAAAAACATTAAATTAAAGAAGAATTTGAGGCCTTACCATCGATAAAAATCTATGGCTGCCCCTAAGTTTTACTATGGTGGCTAAGTTTGAAGAGAGAGAACAAAGAAAATTATAGGGTTTTACTATATCTAGGTTTTTTGATATATTAGGGACTTTGTCGAGCGCTACGCACGCGGTGCTAATTGGAATTTTAGGGTGTAATTGCTGTCTTGAAGTGTGGCAATGTGGGGTTTTTTTTTCAAGGAGGTAGTGAGTTTGAAAAGAAATTCATGTTCGGGTGCTTGATCATGGGTATTATTTAAAAAAATTGATAATGATGTTTTTGAAAAGGGAAAAAAATGAAGTGTATTCTATTAAGAAACTATATTTTTTTAAAAAAGAAGAGTGTAAAAACTTGATCACTTTAGTTACGTTATTCTTGTGCTAACAATAGGTGTTTATAAATGCTTTTCAATTTGCATGTAAGCCCAAATGCATAAGCCCGATTGAAGTCCAAATACAGTAAAAAGATAGGCCTTTTAAATTTTCTAATAAACTTGTAGTCCCGGCCCATTTGCTAAACAATATATACACATCTTTTTGCAAACCCAAATGCTAGCCCAAAATGGTGTTCTTTAGTCTTGTATTAATATTATGTATATAAATCCATTGTCTTTGTGTAAGTGTAAAAAATGCAAGAATAATTGACAATTATTAAAAAAATAATCTTAAATTATTATTACTTTTAAGTTTTATAGTCAATGAGTCAATGGCGATGGATTTAGAATGGTATTAGTAAAGAAAAATGTACGAATTTGATTTAATTTTTATTCAATGGTAAGATTTTAGAATTATTTGATAGAATCACTTAATGAAAATGTACGAACTTGATGAAATATTGATGATAAGATTTGTTTTAATTTTTATTTTATTCTATTTGAGACATTCGACGACTTCATTCATATGTATACTACTCAACATTTAAAAAAGAAAATACTCAAGATTTAAAATAATATTATTGGAGCAATTGAATGGAATAGGACAAAATTACAATGCTTAATAGTTGAAGATAGTTTTGATACAAAGATAAAAGATAGTACTACATAAAAGGGAGTCCTAGTTCCTCGTTATGAGAAACACTTGCGTTTCTCATAATGACATTTTGGAAAATAATGTGATATTTTTCACTTCCTCATCTGCTGAGTCGGATTCGTGGGGACAGCCTATGTGTCAGCCGTTATGTTCTCTCTCTCCTCTCTATCAATGGCGCTGTGGTCTGAAGCTCGTGGAGATTCCAGATGAAAAAATCGGGTATTCAAGTTGTCTAATTCCATTGAAGTAGCAGGTAAGTGAAGTTTTCTATTCTCTTTCTTCGTCGCTTCTTCCAGTTGTAAGTTATGTTCTGTTCTAGGGTTTTGATTTGTTCTTCTCTTGATGCGACAACATTTCATGAAATTGAAATCATAATTGCGACTGAAATCAGAATAATTTTGAAAGTAATGGGATTATAAGGTTCAATCCCTCTGTTAAAATGGGTTTGAGGTTGCTGAAAATGGGCGATTGATTTTGTTTAAAATGCAATATATACTTTTTGAAAATGTGTTGTAGTCTTATGCTGTGAAAACGTGTTGGTTGATTTGTGTTAATTTTTGAAAATTGGTTGTATTACTCTGTTGGTTGTTCAATTGGTTGGTTGATTTGTGTTGGTTGGTTGTATTACTTTGTTGGTTGAATTTGTGCTGTGAAAACGTGTTGGTTGGTTGATTTGTGCTACTTTGTTCAAGTGGTTGTAGTATGCCTTGTTAATAGAGCTATGACTGTTTTAATTTGCATCATAGTTATGTTGGTGTTCTGTATTTGAAGGGTGAATTGTTTTTTATGGAGACTGATATTATGGAAATGGAAAATGAAGGCGTTATAAGAGGCAGTGAGGTTGGTGTAGGTGATAGGGGCAGTGGAGTTAAGTTTAGGAGTAACGTTGATATGGAGGAGGGTAATGATATGGAGGGTATAGAAGACGTAGTTGTTGCATATAGTTGTGTTCAGGGTGTTGGTGTAGGTGCAGTTGGCATGAATGTTAGGTATTTATCCCCCTTGAAAACAATTCATACAACTCACACTGTGGTTGGTAGGAACGAAATGTCTGTAATTGTTGAGGAATCTAAGGAATGGATGGTTTTCCGTTCTTGCCAAGAGGTTGAAGCCTACTATAAGGAGTATGCTGAGCAGATAGGGTTTGGAGTGTCAAGGGTCAAGGTGTAAATTCTAAGACGAACAAACAAAGAATTGTCAACACGTGGAAGTGTGAGTGTTGGGGAAAACCCGACATGAGGGCTAGGATGGAAGCGAAGAAGAGGGCAAAGGCAATAGGTGTTGGAGGTTCGGGTGGTTTAGTTGATGGGGTGGTATGTGAAGATGAGTTAAGTCGTAGGAAGAGGACTTCGAAAAAGAGTGAATGTGGGGCCCGTGTTTATGCTAAAGTAGGGTGTTAAAAACCGTGCACTTAGAGCATAATCACAAGATTGATCTGGCAATTTGGTGGCCTGGACGCCTAGTGGACGGCTCAGCCCGCCATCACCCAGGTTCGACACGGCACGGTACGAGCCACCTCCTAACACAGTGAGACACGGCCCACAATAGCCCGGCACAACACGATGTCTAGCTCTACTCCGTACCGACCGTACGTAATATTCCTACAAGACTACAACTACCAACATTTAAATCAACACATCACGGTAATTAAGCCACAAATTCCTTCTTTACCCATCTTTCCGTCTTTCACCATCACTCTCCCTTCCAAGCACCATCGTCCTTTCCACACTCTACCCTTCCTACAATCCTACTCATTTTCATTTCAAAAAGCAACACATTTTAATAATTCATCTTCATCTTCAACCATGGAAGGGTAAGCTACTTTATCTCTTTCCCTTTATTCCATCAATTCATTTTAATCATTCAATTAAATTTCGCCATTATTACAAAATCCAAGTCTAACCCAGTTTTTTTGTTTGTTGTTCAATTGCAGACCCGACTTCTACCCAGATCGCACAACCCAACAAACCCCGACTTACTCAACCGCCGCATACTCCACCACAAGCGTCCACGTCACCGCCCTCGACGGCCTCGTCAACGTCAACTCCCTCTTCACAATCGCCGTTTTCGTCGGCCTTTCCCTCACTACTCCCGGCCAACGCAGCCTCGAGAATCGCACCTCTTGCGACGCCGGCATTGACGTCGCTAAAAAACTCCTCGTATTCGAGGTCGTCTCGTTTAGCTTCTTCCTTTTCTCGTCATTGGTTGCGCAAGGATTAAAGCTTGCAATCAACATTTTAAACAGCAAGGATGTTGATGAAGTTTTTAGAGCCCACATTAATACCAAAGTATTGAGGGTTGGAATGTTGGGTTCTGCTATTGGAAGTGTTATGGGGTGTTTGTTTTTGATGTTGTCAATGATTAATGTCATTGAAATTAGGTTGGGTTTGTTGAGTTGTGGGAGTAAATCTGCTACTCATGTTGTTGCTGCTTTGGTTATTCTTGTTACTTCTGCTCTTTTGGTTTATATTTCTACTGCTCTTTATGCTTTCTTGCATTGATTTCATGTATTCGAATTCTATTCCTTGTATAAAAATTCCGTCAATTTTCCAAGAAATATGCTCTATTTTGTGGTATTTTTTTGGTTGAATTTTGTTTTGTTAATGCCTTTGATTGGTCTGTTGGGGTGAAATTAGAGAAATTTGTCTTTTTTGTATGTTACATGTTGAATTTTGGCCTTATTGTTTGAGCCTTTATGGTTGTTTTCCTCATTGAGTTGAGTGTCCTACTGTGGATGTTTATATATGTTCATGTCAAATATTGGATGAACTTTCGAGTTTTCGGATAGCTTTTCATGTGCTTTGAGCTCAATTTGGTTAATTGAGTGGATACCAATGGAGCATTAGTATTCTAGGGAGCCGCTTTGATAGATCGTGCGTCCTAACTGACTAATTCGGTTGGACTTGGTGTTCTTGTAGTTTGAGTTATTTTCTCCTATGACGTTGATTGAAGCAGTAAACTCGTAAAATGGAACTAATTGGATGAAACGTCAAACTGTGATATAAATAATCCAAGGAGCCGAAGCCATGATTTGCCAAGCTAATGAGTAATGAGACAGACTTCACTCACTCAAGTACACCAAGATACCAGAGCAGTTCAGTACTGGAATGACCTAGCTAATTAGCTCAATCACACTATATCACTGGAATAGTGTCTTTTGCTCATATTGGTTGTGCTTTGAGGACTCAGACCATTGCTTATGGATTTAGTCTCAACATCACTTTGATCAGCGAGCTCTTAGTTCTTTGAACTACACAAAGCAAATTTTGGTCCTACAAATACTGTGTTATTGATCGTGGGAGAAGATGCTTTCTGTAATCAGTTGACGATTGAGCACCTAATGGCTAATAGCAATAAAATTTGCTTCAATGCCTCATTTTGGTCCACATAACCATTAGAGGCCTCTTCAAAGTTCAAACATTGACAGCAAGGTGGTTATGTAGCTGGATCTTCCGTCCAAATTCTTGTTTTGCCCGGCATGAATCCATACTGGTTCACTAAGTGAACGCGTTATGAAAGGTTATCCTTCATTGGCTGGAGTATTTTGTAAGTTTACAAGTCTATCATTTACCTTTTGATAGAAGCCTACTTGCAAAAAAACATTGCTTGTTATTTTGAAAATTGTGAACTTGGGAGAACATGAAACTAGTTATTAAGGCGCCATCAGGTGATTTTTTTTGAAATAAATCACGCAACAACCCAAATACTGAGTACTCAGTTAGTATAGCTGTATAGTATTAGCACAACTTAAGGGGGGATGTGATGAAAGTAACATATGATTCTTGCAACTTCTGAATAGTTTTATCTTTGCAACTTGCACAACAAAACCCTAACTCTTCTACTCTGTATTCTCCAAGCTAACTATGGCACTTTTAGAAGGTATTATGGTGGTGAACGCAATGAACCAGGTATCCAAGCGTGGGAAGTGAATCAATTGGCAGACTTTATGACGAGAAAGGGTTTCTCATCCACGCCTTAATTTAGTTCTCTTCTTTAAAGGGGTGGGGAAATTAATTTCTAGCATGAGAACAAAGAATATACAGAATACAAAACGTTTAAGGATGTCTTAAAAAAACTATGATATACAAGTATATCTATATCCTTTCCTCTTAAATCTTGTATGATTGTACCCAACAACTTATGTAAATATTATAGATTGTACTTAATAAATCCCATACAAATTGATTCGCTTCAAAAACCAATCTAAACTTGTCTGGTAATATGCGAAGTAGTATAGTTATCTAAATTTTTTGAATGCTCATGATAAGCCAATTGTACAATTGGACTTCATACTCGTACATTAATAGTTTAAAACTTATCAATTATAACCTAGATGGTATAATTTAAAAACACACAAACAACTAGGAAAATCAATTTGACCTCAACTTGCCAAAAGAAGTTAGGTAAAAATCACGAATCCGATTGTACATTTTATTAAAATAAAATTAATGACCTAAAACTTTTTTTTTTTTTTTTTGAAGGAAATGACCTAGAACTTTGATTGACAACTAGAACTCCATTTGGAAAACAACGCTAAGCTTAAATTACATGCTCATATAAAATTTAATGATATTATGTTATGTTTGTATACAATATATAAGTGGAAATTATCGCACATTATCAACAATATCCAACAAGCTCTTAGACATTTCAACAAATGTCAGATTCACCACATATATAAAGAATCTAATAGAGTTGCAGTCATGGTTGGATTTGGTGGCTTGTGGGTGGATTTGCAAGTTTGTGGGGGTGGTTCCTAGGTGGGTTTGGTTATCAGGGTGGTTCAGGGGTATTGGTGGTGTGTGGGATTTGGTGGTTCGTCGGTGATTTTGGTGGTTCATGGGGTGGTTTTGGTGGTAGTCGAAGGGTTTTAGTGGTTCGTCGGTGGTTTTGGTGGTTTAATTCATGGGGGTGGTTTTGGTGGTGCATCTAATCGGGTTTCAGTGGGGGTGGTTTTGGTGGTTCGTCGAAGGGTTTTGGTGATTAGTCGGTGGTTTTCCTAGGTTTGTGGTTGGATTTCGGTGGTTTTGGTGGTGGTTTTTGGTTCTAGATGTCGGTGGGTTTGGTGAAATTGGTGGTTTTGGTGGTGGTTCTGGGTTTCGATGGTTATGGGTTTTTGTTTAATTGTTTTTATTTCCAGGTAGGATTAATACTTAATCAAATGCGGCTTTAAAAGTTTTGCCTATGAGTCTGTGCTACCCCCCTTTATTGCAAATAATTGTTAACGGAGGAAGTACAAGACAATGCACTAGTCTGACCTTAGATATATACAAAGTATATGATTAAATGGTAATAAACATATATTAAGAAGTTGATATTACTAAAAAAAAAACAAAGGAAATTCTCTTTGGTAACACCCAACTTTCATTTTTTCTCTTTAATAAATCGCAAATATTTCAATTCTTTTTAGTAATCTTGTATAATTAGTTTTATTGCTAATATATTAATGATTATTTTTTATTAAAGTTTTAACTATAATTAGAGTTGTTTGGTTGATTTAATTATTTTTTTTAAAAAAAAACCAAACCCCTCCCCCACCCCACCTAGCCACCAGCAGCCCCTCACCCCTGCCGGCGGCTAAGCGCCTCACCGTCGACCACACTAACCACCACGAAAACCAGCCCCCTTCCCCTACGAATCCCCTTACACTGTAAAACCCCAAACACATTGCCATACTCCACCGAAGATGAAACTCCATCGAGCAATACTCGCACTGGTCGTCTCCATCGCATGCGTCGCAATCGTGGGAGAAGCGCATTGCCATCACACACTCGCTGATGAGAACGATGAGGCCGAGACGGTGAGCTATGAACTCGTTGTTGAGAACGGAGGAATTGACATCGATTTCGATGAGATTGACGGCGACGGTTGGCACTTCGGCAATCATTACGCGGCGAAGAGAATTTGCAACGCTTGAATCGGTTTTCTTGAGCTCGAATTTCATGATCGTCTCGCATTTCTCGGATATTGACTTGGGGGGAACGCTGGTAGGAGATTCACTCCATTGCTAGGGTTCGAAGGTTTTTGATTGCATGGATTTTTTGAGGGAGAGAAAAAGAGAAAGCGGAGCTAAAACCCTTTGCCTAAGTGTTTGGGGGTTTGCCGGTGTGAGGGGGGTCGTTGGGGAAGGGGACCGGTTTTCAGGGTGTTAGTGCGGTTGGCGGTGAGGGGCCTAGCTGCCGGCAGGGGAGGGGCTGCTGGCGCCTAGGTGGGGTGGGGGATGGGTTTTTTTTTTTTTTTTTTTTAATAAATACATTATTATTTTTACAATATTTAATTATTAAAAAAAAAACTAATTATAGTTAAGGATTTTTATTAAATAACACTTATCAATGGTAAACAATAACATAAGATTACCAAAGAGAAATGAAATTTTTGCAATTTACCAAAGAGAAAATGAAAAACTTGAGTGTTACCAAAAAGAATTTCCCAGAAAACAATGGTCAAACTTTGCATATAAATAATTAAAAAAAAAATCAAAGGTGTCAATTATTTAGAAGGAAATTTTGAATTTGTACACCACAAAAAAACACGAAAATGGTTTTTAATACGACAAAAAAACAAAATAAAAAAACTTTTATTTTAACACCATCGAAAGTTTAAAAAATTTGATTTTACCACCAATTAACAGTTGTCGTCCAAATTTCCATTAAGTGGGGTCCATTGTGCCACGTGTTGCTATATTATTAGTTTAGAAAAAAAAGAAACATAAAAAAAAAAACCTAAAACTAACCCAGCCACCCCAGACCCACCGCTAGCGGCGCACCACCACTACATCCTCACCCTTGTTGAGAGTGTTGATGGTTGCACGCTCGCGCCCATGAAGAATGCCCGCACAACGTAGGCGCGGCCGCGCAGAGAGCGCGCCTAAACCGCGCACCTCTCTGGAAATCAGCAAATTGGAAGGGTGTGGTTGGCGCGCCCGCGCGTCCTGGTGGAGCGCCCGCACTGCTAGTCGCGCATAAACCGCGCCCCTCACTGCCTTCTTGTGGAATCTCGCAGATTTTGGGAGGCGCGCCCACGCTGAAATGTGGCGCGCCCGCGCCTCCCTGTTTTGCGGTTTTTCTTGACGGTTGAGTGTTTTATTAAAAGACAAAGTTTCGTGAAGAAAAGATATAGAAGAAAAATTCTTCATCTCTCCAAATAGTATCCTCCACATTTTCTCTCAAATTTCTTGCAAACTTTTGTGAGGAAAATCCTTGAAACTTAGCCATCTTTGTGAATTGCTCATTGTATTTCGTTTCTAGTGCTAAGAACGAAATTGGCTGTCAATTGTATCTCAAAGAGGATTACCGATTTAACCCAAGCACCGTGTGGGGGAAATAAACCTCTTTAGGAAAGTGTATACACGCCTTTGACAGTGTATCAAGGTTTGAGACTTACGTGGTCATCGATATTCTCATGTTCATGGTTGGTGTAGTCGGCTTGGAGGAAAGGCAAGTTTGATTCTTCACACTAGTGTAGTCTATGTAAATTTTCAGTAATTTCATTGACAATTTAAATACTTGATTGTAATACTTTGTTTTGTATTTGATATTTACAATTTGGAATTGTAATAATATATTTTAGGATTTGTTCCCACACATTGTT